AGGAGTTGGAGGTTGCTGTGAGCTGTAATGCCACGGCACTCTGCCCAGGGGGACAGCTTGAGGCTCTGTCTCAAAAAAAAAAAAAAAAAAAACTAGGTATAGCAAGAAATTAACAATAACTAATATAAAACATAACAATTCTGGGCTCCACGCTTGTAGCTCAAGCGGTTAAGGCACCAGCCACATACATCACAGCCAGAGGGTTTGGATTCAGCTATGGGGCCTGCCAAACAATAATGACAACTACAACCAAAAAATAGCTAGGCATTCTGGTGGTCGCCTGTAGTCCCTACTTGGGAGGCTGAGGCAAGAGAATCGTTTAAGCCCAGGAGTTGGAGGTTGCTGTGAGTAGTGATGCCACAGCACTCTACCCAGGACAACAGTTTGAGGCTCTGTCTCAAAAAAACAAACAAACAAACAAACAACAACAACAGAACAATTCTAACAATATATACTGTTCACAATTTCGTGGACAGATTTATTCTTACCTTAAATCTTAACCACATCAGCAAGATTTTTTTGTCTTTACTTATTGAGTTCTTTTTACCTTTGGAAGTACTTTACACAGCCTCTTTGGCATATCTGAATTACCAGCATCACTGATCTTGCACTCTGAGGCAAGATTAAGTAAAATAAAGATTACTTGAACACAAGTGTAGTTATATGGTGACAGTCAATCTGATAACTAAGTTGGTTACTAAGTGACTAATAGGCAGGAAGCATGAGCAGCATGAATATGCTTGACACATGAGTCCCATACCGGATGGCACAAAGTGGGACAAAGAGATTTCCTTATGCAACTCAGAAAACGACGTACAATTTAAAACTTATAAAGCGTATATTTTGTAATTTTCCATTTCAGACCTTGGATAATTGTGGGTAACTGAAACCATGGAAAGTAAAACAGTGGACAAGGGGGACTACCGTACTATACTTCTGTTATATGAACTCAAAGATCAAAGAAACATGACTAACCAAACTAACATCCAAGAGTTAAGGCTGAGCCAGTCCATTCAACTAAAATTAACCACCAGTCCAATACTGGTAGTACCAGTAGCCTTTATTTGGTGAATAGAGATAATTAAAATATTCTCCACTGGTAAAATAGAAACATATTCCAGGTTTCCTTGGACATTCCTGGTTGATGCCTGTTATTCCAACTATACCTCAGTTCAGGAAACAAAATACATGATTATCACACCCACAGGTTCTCCAATTATGTTAACTCTTGGTTTATATTTGAAGAATTTCATTTCTTCTTTTATAGTATCATGTATACAATCCAAATAACTTCTGAACATATAGTGATAAAATGATAAAACCGGAGTACTCACGGGTAGCCAAGGAAAAGGAGATTGAGGACTGAATGGCTTCGAAAGAGATTGACGAGGGTCCAACAAAGTACCCATCCACACAAAGTGAGTAGTACCAAGCGGGCTGATATTAGAACCATGTAGTGAATCATTGATGCTGCACCTGCCTTAGTAGCCTGAAAGTTTGGAAGCACCAAAGGAAAATTTTATAAATAATTTCATTCAAAAGTAATACAACTCCCTCATAGAACTCAAATTAGACCACCTATTTGATCCTGCAATCCCACTACTAGGCATCTACTCAGAAGGAAAAAAAAAATCATTTTACCATAAGGATATCTGCACTAAACTGTTTATCACAGCTCAATTTACAATTGCCAAAAAGTGGAAACAATCTAAATGCCGACCAACCCAGGAACAGATTAACAAGCTGTGGTATATGCATACCATAGATTACTATTCAGTCATTAAAACATGGAGACTTTACATCTTTTGTATTGGCCTGGAAAGAGATGGAACACATTCTTCTTAGTAGTGTGACAAGAATGGAAAAGCAAGAATCCAATGTACTCAATACTAATGTGAAGCCAGTAGATGATCTAATACATTCCCACACAAGAGAAAAACTCAAAGCAATGCAAGGTGGGGGGAGGGGAAACAAAGAAGTGGGGAGAAGGTAGGAGGGAGAAGGATGGGTGAGCTCCCACTTAATGGGCACAATGTTAGGATGTATGGCACACTTCTAGGGGGTAAAGCACAATTATAAGAGGGACTTTACCCAAAAATGCAAACACTGTAGCCTAATTCTTTGTACCCTCAATGATCCTGAAACAATAATTTAAAAAAAGAACCAAGTATATTTTGTAAACAAAAAAAAAATTTAATAAAAGTAATACAACTCAAAGGACTTAGGTTTAGTGAAGCTAAAATGTGTCTAAAAGGAGACAGCACAGTGACTCACACCTATAATCCTACAACTCTGGGAGACTGAGACAGGTAGATTGATTGCCTGAGCTCACAGGCTGGAGACCAGTCTGAGCCAGAGCAAGACCTCATCTCTAAAAATACCAGGCACTGTGGGCAGCTCCTATAGTCCCAGCTACTCGAGATGTTGAGGCAAGAGAATTGCTTGAGCCTAAGAGTTTGAGATTGCTGTGAGCTATGATGCCACAGCATTCTACTGAGAGTGGCAAAGTGAGACTGTCTCCCAAAAATAAATAAATAAATAATGAAAAAGAAAAAGGAAAGATTGTCCCATTCCATCTTATCTCCCTAAATAGTAACTTGTCCAGGGACAGTTAATCATTTCCTCATTGTACCCTCACAGTGCCTTATAATCTCCTTAAGTTTATATATATCACCTCATTTGTTTATAGAGGGGCTTCTCAAAGTATGGTCCATGGACCACATTCATCTTGGGCTGCTTATTTTTTTTTTT